ATCTAATGTAAGTAATAAATATATCTAAAAAAATGTTTCTACAAATGAGAAATAAACAAGTACACTATATCTGTATTATACAATAAAAAATGTTTATACCAATGCATACCTATAAAATATCAGCCAAAAAAAAAATTATATATCACTGGGATTACATGTATCATTATAGCATGTATCACAAGTCAGACCTAATGTCCAAAAATTGATGATCACAACTTTGCACACTGTCAAGCTTTTTCCGTAAAGTTCTGTTTTTCATTGTGTTCGGAAATTTTGAATCGGTGTTTCACGCGTAGAAAGTGGTTATTTGTCGATGTCCATAAATAAACCAAAATGCAGCATTACAATAGTGACCCTACAAAACAGAAGAATCTTAAAAAACTTATGGTGAGATAAAAGGATCATTATTAGATTGAGTCGTCACTCAAAACTAACTAGTACTTTCGGTCGAAAAGACCTATTGTTTTTGTCTTTTTAATTCTCATTATTTTCAACAAAGTTTTGTTAAGGATTTTTTGGATACGGTTAAAGATATTAAAATTTTGATTGCATAGGCTTATAGCAATTGGTACTGACACGCATAAGTAAGGTTTTAACTTCTGGTTCTGGTACTTCCGGTTTTGACAAGGAAAATACTAAAAAATTGAATGAAACGCAATATCTTGCTTACTTTTTACAATTAGATGTATCTTAACATGTTGTACAAAATTGTAAGCATAGATATTTCTCTATCTAATACCGTTTTTGAGATATAAGGTTTCAAATTTGAGAGAAGGGGGGATGATAAAACAAAAACTTCAAAAAACCTTCGGAATTTCCGAAGACTTACATTGTTTATATGGAATTAATTAACATATATTCCAAGGTTCATTGAAACTCAAAAGTATTGAGTACTTCTGGTTTTATGAGCTGATGAAAATCGTTTATGGGTGTTTTTATGTTATTAAATCAATTGAATTCATGCATGTAACATTTTCTCAAATAGTTTTATTTCATCCTTCTTGGCTCAATGGTTCTGGAAAAAGAAGATTTTTAAAAGATTTTTCCTAGTATATATTCCTATGTAAGACTTTGATCAGCCATTGTGGCCCCGCCTTACCCCTGGGGGTCATGATTTGAACAAACTTGAATTTACACTACCTAAGAATGCTTCTACATGAGTTTTATCTTTCCTGGCCCAATGATTCTTTAGAACAAAATTTTTAAAAAGATACCATTAATTTTTCATTAATTCATAACTATATCAATTGAGCCTTCGGCTCATGTGATCCCGGGCATAAAAACTACTTATAAGTAATTCAGAAATTTTCATAGTAAAAGGCAATACGTTTTTATTATTAAAGCTTACAAAATGTTGCACACGAGTGCAGCTGATGTTATTTCTCCCTGAATAGAGCGAATATCAAATGATTAATGTAAATTTCTAATAACCTAAAGGTAATCATCCTCCGTATTACGCGACACCACTTTTTTGTGCTATGAATATCATTTCTAAAAAAATAGTGCAAACGGAAAATCCATTGCAACAATGTATATCAGGAATACTCTACCGTAAACAATCATTTTTTTCCGTTACATTGAAGAAATGGCAAGTCTTCATAAAAACTTTCAAAATTTATTTTGAATTTATGTGAAAAAGACTTATTCTTATGTGTTTAGTTTTATTCATTCTTGTTAGACAGGCAATCAAACCTTCAGTTGTGAAGCCACATGCAAATTAACATTATAACATTATTAATTGGCCTCTATATGCCCCGATGACCATGGCCACTTGACTATCATAATTCTTCTCAGACTACGACCAAAACGGACGACTTTTTTAAAAATTGTTTTCTAGTGAAGATAATTTCAAATTACACTAGATTTATGTACAAAGTTTAACGAGCGTATTCCCTACGATATTTAGGGTGAAAAATCAATAGGAATTGCATGTATTATTTATCAATGAGATACACGTACAGGGTGTCCCAAAACATATGTTACACTTTCAATCATCTATAACTTTATTAAACCAAAAGCTTTTACAAAGATATTTTGTCAACATATAATGTATTAGCATACATTTTATCTGACAAACTTTCGAGCAATTCTGTGAAAGAGTCGGGCAATTATGATGTCCTAATGACGTCATCATATTTTTAATATGAACCTTTACTATCGATCTAAAATTCCTACTTTAGTAATTGGTACCATGAGAAAACAACATCCTGTAATAAAAGTGCTCAGCGAAATACTAACTTACAGATTTGTGAAAAATTTTGAAATCAAAGGCACCATAAATGACTCTTGACTTAATTCTGATATTACATTAGAAGATCAACAAAAGTCCAAACCAAAGGGATCATTAATACCATTGATAGAACTATTAATGAAACTTTACAAAAATCCCTTAGACTGGTCCTGTATGAACAAGATAGCAACTTTGGTAAATCTAGTGTTCAAAAATTACCCAAATTTGATTTCAAAATCGATTCCTTACAAGATACATTATGTAAGTGTAATGCAGCAAATGAAAGAGACAGAAATCAGAAGTCGTTTGACTTTGCACATTGGATTTTAATTAGACTCTACTCTGAAAATTTATCAGATGCATGGTTTTCTACTATTATAATAGAGTGAAAAAATAATATTGGAAGACTACTTCCATATTAACGATATTGTTCAAGAGAATCTTAAATTCTATTGTTTGATGAAACCCTATTTCAAACTTCTGAACTGTTAGAATGTTACATTTAAAGCCTGGCAAATAAAAACTTCAGGAATCATATTCAAACAGTCATGTTTTTTTTCCCTCAAAAAGACGTCATTTGGAACTTGTTGTAAGATGACATGTGTGTTATTCTAAAGAAAGAAACGTTGATGATGTGACAAATGTATGCTTTACAAAAAATGCATAACAATTTCATCATATATTTTAAATTTCATTACTGTATCTCGAGGCATAAACTTTTTATAACGGTTTAAAAGTGTAACATATGTTTTGGGACATCATGTATTCCATTTGAAAAATAATTATTGCTGGTGTCTTTATAAATGTTTATAACTCAAAAATATTCGTCCATGGTGACCATGAATTTTTTAAAGTTGTTAGATTCATTTTGAAATTAATTGATATGCATTTTTAATTTCGTTAATTTTCCATCTTTAGTCATGTTAGTCCAGTCTTGCTTCATGGGACTTAGAAACACGAATGAAAAGTTCTTTCTGACGTATTTCATTTTATCAAATAAAATCATAAATACATTTTGCAGATTTTATTTGATAAAATGAAATATTTCAGAAAGAACAATATTATACATGTAGCTATAATTACAACAGCAACTGGCCTAGAAAAAAAATCTTTAAGCATGATAAGGTCCACTGAATATTACTATGTTAACACTTACAAAGCAAAACTGTTGGGCTTTTAAACTAAAAGGACACGAATTATATTTTGCATGTTTTTTTAAATCATAATTATGAAAATAGTTTGCGCTCTGGATGTACATTAAAAGACAAGATTTTTGAAGATGTATTTCTGCTCTTCTTAATAGCTAATTTTATAAAAAAAAAAAAAAAAAAAAAAAAAAAAATAGAAAATACGTCGTGCATAGTATTGGGGCTTGAAATTGCGTAATATATAACTCTGTAAACGATGGGCCTGAGTATTTTTTGGTCATTTTATCTTTTTGGCTACATAGATTTTTCAGGAAATTTGTACCAAGCTTCTATAACTTCCTGTGATACTGTTACACAAAATTTATTAATTAATTTCAAAGAACTATATGCGGTATATTGCATATGTTTGCCCCCACAAAAGTCAAATTTTGAAAACTTCCTGATATGTGCTGAATTCAATAAATTGTACGAGAAATATAAGTTAACAGAAAATATTATAGTTCCAGAGCAGTGTATTCACAATTTCTGTTTTTATGACGTCACAAACTAGTCCGATTTTATATCCTTTTTCAGAAAGAGGACAAAATGGACAAAATTTCAACAATTTAAGCTTTAAAATTTATAGAGCGCATGTGTGTTCAGGAACAATATTGACATATTTCATTGATATTATCATTCTACACATTATATCAAAATATTTATCCTGAACACACATGCGCTCGGTGACTTTTATTTTAAATATCGACGAAATATGTACATTTTCTGCAAAATTCATAAAAAACTGAAATTTACGTCATATTTGTGACGTCATTACGTACATATGACGTCATTACTTATGAAATTATTCAGTGCTTTGAAGTCAGCATATACTTCCCTGTTTAAGGACTTAATTAAATATTACTCCATCAAAGTTTGATTTTGGGGGGCAAATGTTGGTTAATACCGCATATAGTTCTTTAATAAACTGACCGATTCCGACGGTTCGTAATATTGGAAGCATTCCGTAATATGCCATAATTTTGACGAGTAACACAAACAGATGGAATGTTTGGTAAACATGGTTTACTATTTAACAGATTATTTTCATAAAACTAAGTTGATAAATGAAATATGCAAATCAAGAAGTAGTCAAAAATTTCAAAAAAAATTATTAGCAAGAAGTAAGAGAGATTAATAGAGCGATTTTGATGTCTAGTCGTTTTTTTTTTACTACGATATAAGGTATTTAACCGGGCGTATAACACCAATATGAGCTGTAGTCTCTATTTATTGGGAAAACTTGTAACAGATAAAATCTTATTTTTTAAAATGTGCATATGAATAAAATTTTGTATTTAAAGAAACACTAAAAATAAGACATTTCTAAGAAAACAGGAGCAAAAATTAGATGTCTTGTCTAATTTGTTAAGCCTTAAATTTTTGACGTTTTTTCGCTTAAACGGCAATAACTCAAAAAAGCATATTTTGATGTTACAAAATCAGTCCCAATTCTGTGCGCGGCGTCAAAAGTTTACTTTTAAATACCGTAGATTTGCTTTCATCGCAGAGAACTTTTTGTTGGCAAAAGCCAAATTCTCCTAATTTATCTACATGACATTGGATATCTTCTAATTTCAGGGGGAAACTTACATGTATCTGCTTTTGTTTGCATTACTGTCGTTGGCTGAAGCCCAGACTCCGAAAATACCAAAAACGCAGTTCGACCTTCCAGGTTTGCCTATAAGCGTTGGTGCAGGGATCGATGATAAAATTCCAAAAGGTATAATTAAATTCCAGAAGCCAGATTTAACCGCTTGGGGAGCTACAAATTTTCGTGGAAAGTGGGAAGGTGGACTAGGAGTCAGGACAGGGAATTGGGATCTTGGGGGCCAGGGATCAATCAATAGTGGTGGGCGTTGGGGTGCTACTGTGGGTGCATCCAGAGGGAACTGGGATTTCTCAGCTTTCGGCAGAAACGCTGGGAGAGGTGTCGAAGTCGGTGCTGGGGTAAAATTTAGGTTTGGCGGATCAAGCAGAAGAAGAGGAGGCGGAGGGGGAGGAGGGAGGCACAGACTTGAGAAACTAACTCTTCAGGTAATTGAAGAAATTTAATTTTGATCATACCAAAAAATGTAACCCTTGCCGACCTACAAGTTAAAGAAGGCTCGACTTAATCTCAATGAAAAGTTTTTTAATGACATACTTAATAATAAATATAGGATTTTTGCTTATGTGTGATGCGCCTGACGTCTGTCAGTCAGAAAGATTTTTTAGCAAGTTAGAGTGAATTGCATATTCTAAAATTAAGTAAAATGGTAATCATCAAAAGTTGTTTTATATTTTATAATGACATCAACAAACATATATCAAACAACCTTTAAGTAATATCTTATAAGTAATACATTGATATTAACAGTTAACAATTATAATAATAAGTAATATGCAGAAGTTAGATTAGACTACACAGTACACGCACGTGTAATATATGATATGTTCTGCATGAAACATATGTTACACGGACGTGGTATGTACAATAGCCAACCTGAATCCAAATACTAACTTGATGAATCAAATAAATATTGGCTAAAGTTAGTAGTACGCCAAATATTCTCGTTTTACAGTAATAACATTGTATATTCAAACTTTTTTTTTACAGGAAGTGTCGAGATCTGATCGCATGCAATAATTTTCAAGAACAGGTTTTACATCTGCGCAAAGAACGCTATGTGATATCTTTAAGGCATCACTGCTGCGAAAATAGATATATAAAGAAAAAATTGAAATACTTCAAAGCATTGTTTGCTGATTTGTTATCTTTTCATTTGTATATGTAGGTCAACAATGGAAGTTTTGTTATTTTGATTCCATTTAAACATACAGATTGTAAATTAAAATTCTAATAAAAAACTTTAAACAAGAAAGTCTTTATTTTGATCCTTTGTCTTATCAAAAAAAAAAAAATAATTAAGTAACCATCTTAAAAGCCTTAAGCTATGCTCACTGCTCAGGGTAAATGTTTAAAAAATTAAAACTGTTTTTTTAAGACTAATATTTTACAATAAAAGCAAACACATATTTAAAGGCATCAAAATAACCTTATTAGCAAGTAACCTATCACTGGGTTGTATTTTGTCTGATTTGTTTTAATATTACACAAATTGCTACATTTTTCTTTTTGTACTAAATTTTTTCCATGGAATGTGCTCTTTACTTATTGAATCTTACAACTTACGGCGGGTGTAACCGGTCATCAGGGGATGTTTACTTCTCCTAAGTACCCGAGTCTACTTCTGGAATCTATAGGGGACCATGTGTATGCCCTGCTTACAGATTTGCTTCCTTTGAAAAGTTTTGCCACAACAACATACAGAATAGTGTGATTCAAAGACAAATCGAGATTATGACTTCAATGTGCTGATCGGCGGGCAAGGTACTTCATGCAGACATCAAACTGAGCTTCATCTTTCAAATAACATAAATAGTGATGATACATTTGGTAAGGGAGAGTGTAACATGGAACAGTGTACCTAACAAGACGTCCATTTATTAAAAAAACCCTATCACTTATACAGTATTTAATGATACTGATTCCAAAGAGAAAAAACAAAATTTTATCAAGAAAAATTGCCTAGCAAGGACTCATTTTGAACATGACTGTTAAAACCAATGTTACATCTGTCAGTAGTGTGGTTCCCTTTAAATTGATCATACACGGATCTTGCCCGTGCGGACAGAATATCTAGGGACATAAATAGGTAACGTGTGTTGGTGATTGAGTGTAACTGTCTTTTTGCCTTGCAGTATCACTCAATGCATGTTATCAATGTGTATATAATGATTAAGTTTTATTTACGTGCCATTGTGCATTTTGTCTCGTATCCCTCACTCTGTACTAAACCGATTGACATACAGTAAAACACACTGAGGCTTACAGGGAAGCGATATGTATTCCCCATGATTTTGAAATATATTGTAAACTTAAAGGATATAACAAATTACACTTATAACGAAACAATACCACACATCCCTTGTACATTGTTATAAGCGTATTTTAATATATACAGTGTATATTGTTTTCATCAATCCGTCCATCTTTCTGTTTGATTATTAAATTTTGGTGGCAAAGAGTCTTTTCATTGGATAAAAAATAGTCTTAATCGTATTACTTGTATTGTCTACGTAACATTTACATTTTGCTTAATTTGAAGGCATTCCCAAAAGATAACTTAAAGATAAGATGACCTAATTTCAATACTTTATAATGGAAAATGAAATTGTAAGAAATGAATTGAATAGCTAACCAAGTTATAATGGAATTACTTTTGATAGGAGAAGTTTTCTCTCTTTTATTAACCGCTTTATATAGCGTAAACTGCCCCAGATCCAAATTTTACAGTATACACTTGTGTAGGATATTGAGATAACGAACAGTATTTAATCTCAAAGTCCATAAAGCAATACAAAATAAGAGCAGAGCAAACACCGACATCCGAAACATCAGAGGTGGGATCAGGTACCATGTAGGAGTGAGCATCCCCCGCCGACCGGTCACACCCGCCGTGTGCTCTTTGTCATGATCGTGAAATAACGGAAAAATCCGTCGTCAATTCAGTGTATAGATAATGGACTAACAATTAGTATGAAAAACGTCAGTCAACAATTGACTCAAGGATAAATTGCATTTGCTGACAAGGTCATTGTATCGACCATAGAACTTACCAAATGATGGCTTTAAACGAAACGGCTGATATTCTTGTTTCTTCAACTTGCTTGTCAATAATAAACCTCGTTTTAGAAATTGTTCAGGCTTTTGCGTATCGAATCAACTGATATATATACATTTCGTATGCAGGTGATGAAGGTATATTGCTGCATAAGTAAGGGAAGTTGACGATAAAAAAGTTAAAGTCATCATGTTTATCATATAGCTTGGTTGTTCGATTTCCATTACCGTCTTTTTCAAGTAAAATATCAAAGTATGAAACAGATGTGCATATTACCATTGTTAATTGACAATACATCTTCGATATATCTAAATGTTGAGTTGAAGGTCACAACAATTGTTTTCTTCTTTTCACGCATAAGACTTTGCAGAAATTATACTTCATATGAATTTAAAAATAAGTCTGCTAATAACGGAGCGCAATTGTTGTAGTTATTAAATTCTTTCCTTAAATAAATGGTGGCATTTATACTTTGTGCTTATCCAATTTGTCTGCCTTCTTCTCACCAAATCTAGAGGACAAGAGCCATGTATTTCCTGATTCTATTTGCATGTTTTCTTCACATCAAAAGGTACATCCTCTCTCCATCTATCCTTTTTTTCTCCCGAAAAAGCTGTAAGACATGTATCAAGCCCATTTGTCCGGATGTGTCCATAAAAGGATTAAGTACATGTAGATAAATCAAGGCCAACTATCCATCTCCCTCACTGCAAAAAACAAAAACAAACAAAAACACAAAAAAAAGAAAACAAAACTGTAGGACATATTTATTAAATATGACCATCTATAAGTGTCTCTCTCAAAACGAGGTTGGAAGGAACAACCAATGATTCCTTCCATCTATCTGTTTTATGCCATGTGTTACCAGTCAGCAGGGGATACTCACTCCTACATAGCAACTGATCCCATCTCTGATGATTAAGAGGTCTGGGTTTGCTCTGCTCTTGATTTGTATTGTTTAATTGACGTTTGAACTTGAATTCGGTTCGTTATCTACATTTATTTCTTACTTGAACACATATCACAAGAAAATAATAATTGACCCATGATATTTGTCATAACAAGAGGTCAGTCTTTTAGTGAAGATTTCTTTTCCGGGTCTTATTTTTGAACGGAAGGTTTTATATGACTCTGTAACAAAATCATTTGTATAAAATCACAACTTTCAATAGAAAACAGCTAAAGGGAGTTTTGTCCGAGTTATTGCTATATGCTGCTCATTGTTAAACTAAAAGAATTCAAATTTGACAAAGAATTTCTTTAGAATGAAAGAATAAGTGATGTTCGTACATATGTAGAGGAGGCATAAAGGTCTGTTTTTATTTAAAGTTCAAAAATATATATCAATATTTTTATGATTGAAAGATTACATAGTTTACAATGTTTTGGTGTCAAACACTGCTTACAGGTAATTTCTGTCACGTAACATGAAATATCATTATATGATTGATGTGTATATTACACAATCCCAAGGTGACGAAACTCGATCATGTAACACACATATTTTCGAAAAAACAAATTGTGTTTTTTTTTATTTAAAAAAGTGGAAAATCCATTGAATTACTTCATATATAAAGAGCAAAACTTTACTATATGTTGTTTATTTTAACTAGTAACGTTGAGAAATGATAAGTCTTTTTGGAATTAAAAAAAAATATATATCATCTTATTATCTTGTTGAATATTGATGAAAGGAGTGTAATATATAAAGCACATGCATGATAATTTCATTGGATTTTCATTAAATTTGATAACTTTACAAGAAGTCGGTAGCTGAATTTAGAATTAATGTTTAATTCTATTAATGCAGAAAAATAGCTTTGACGCCGATTTTTTTTTCTATTTTCATGTTCTTTTAAAAAACCACAACAAATAACTGCATTTAATAGCTTATGAAAATATCACATACAAAATTAATGTCTTTTCTCTTTTACTCCTTACCGCCCTTATCAATTCATAGTTATTGAAACATCTTTTCTTTGTCAACTACATAAAATATTTTAATGTTTCACTTTACCTTTATAACTTTTTGTAAAATCGAACTTGTCGTCAAATAATAAGACACGTGTCACGTGTATCTTATCTTATTGAAATAGGATACATTTTACATTAAGTTCAAACCATATTTTATTTGAACATGACAAGCAGAGAATACAGGCAAGAAGTACAAAGATAAAAAAATGATTCGGAAACAAGTTTTAAAAAACTTATGCTTATCCGTTTCCATATCATTTATGATAAAGATGACAGACCCTTATTAGATAGTTACAACACACGGTTTCAAGCTGGTTAAAACAATATTTGAGATTGACATACATATTGAATTATAAATCATGCTGATTTTCACAAATGAATGACGTTCTAATTATACAGAAGAAATCTAATGGGTGTACAATATGTACAGCAAAACTCACTTATAACGAAGTCGCTGGGACCTATAAAATTTCTTTGTTATATCCATAGTTCATTATAACGGTATCAGAAAGTCATTAAATTTATATAGCTGGGGATCGAAGATGACTTCGCTATATTCGTAAATTCGCAATATCTGTGCTCATACTAAACGAGTTTTACTGTATTTGAAGAAAAGGAAACAGTAGAAAATGATTAAATTACCAGAGAAAATAATTAAAGAATAAATACATAAATATACATAGTAACAAATATTAATACAAATTTGAGTCAAAATTTGCTTTGATTGACACTTGTTTAATTTCAAGTGTATAATCATTAGTGAGGAATAAATTACTGGACCGCTGTGAAATATCTCGGTCCGTGGGTATACTCTAGTAAAGTGTAATTAAATTAAACGAGTTTATTATCGCTAATTAATGACCAAAAAGAAGTAAATCGAACACTGTCTTATTCACTAAAGAACCTAATTACACATGATTAAATGAAATCAAAGGAATATGATATAGAATGGAAACTTTTAAATATGAATTTGAATCTCTCATAAATTTGGAAAAGTTAATAGACCATTTATTAGATCAAAGATATAATAAACAAAAATGTACGCAATAAATATTTGTGTTAACTGTTCCAGAATTGATAATGCGAGTTATATCTTTAAAGTTTACACTAAATGGAGAAAATGATCCTGTTTCTTAATATCAGGATTAAGAACTAGCTCAT